CATAATTTAATGACATCAAATCGATTATTTTACATGTATTTTGATATACGAGGTATAATGTATCTCAAGTGTTAAAAAATAACATTTTCATTTTCATTTTTTTCAGTTTTTTCTCATAATTTAAACTAGAGTTCTACAATGAAACTTGATGGAGTCATGACAGCATGCTATATATCTATTTTTTGCGGATTCCAAAAAATACGCTGCCTTGGTTCATTTGCTCATTTGTTACTTGACTTGATCACACATTGTATTTTTTAGCACAAGATGATTGAATTTTTATATCAATGAAATTCACCTTGTTTTTATAAATTTATCTACATCTTCATCATTAATATGTGCAAATAATTAAAAAAGAGGCATCAAATGTTCATATAAATCACTAATAATAGTGATAGCTCATGTCGTTGTTATACTTGTTATGATATAAGATGTTGGATATTTCACAAATTCTTAAGACCAAGTTATTGATACTTATTTTGAGGTTTTAAATCTCATGAGATCAAATATGATGTTTTTATTTGTCTTACATGTGACACAATTTCAAAGATGATAACATTTCATCTTCTTAATTGATCAAAAAGTTAATTATTAGCAATAACTCATATACATTAAATTATGCATATTTGAATTTATAGATTTGCATATAGTTCGTCTTTGTTTTTCTAATATTGGTGTCGCGTAAAGCTATAAAAGTGGTTTTTGATATTTTCACACTACAAAGCACAAGAACATATGAAACAAGACATCAAGATTTCTTTCTCTTAAAATTTACGACTTAATTACTAAAATGAAAATAGTTCAATATGTTGCAATTATTATCACAAATGATACAAAAGCAATAACTTTGATGATATTTACATGTTTATTCAAATTTCTAAATTCTAAAGTCCAAATAACATGATGTATGTAGACCATTTGATTGACATAGTTGACATATTAATTGATCCATTATAATCTACTTTTTTAAGTAAAAATATTGAGATGTGGCTTCATGTTTTCCATTTAATTTCTTCTATGTATCTCTATATGTGAAAAACAATTGTTTGACCAAAATCTCAAGAAATGCAATAGCAAACACAGAAGCACCAACTCACATGAGACGACACAAAAACTATGTGATTCATCCAAAGGTTAAGTTCACAAGAACCAATTTGTTATGTATGTTTATTAAAATACAATATGTCTCCCACCTTGACTTATATATAATTGCCATCTAAATCTTAGGGCTAACGTTAATTAGCAACTATCTTGAGTTAAGACAAAACACAAATTAACAATAACAATCTTTCCCTTAATTTATGTTGAAGGAAGAGTAAACTCCTTAACCTATACAATTACTCTTCGATAAGTCCTTGAATAAAACTTAACAAACGACCACTCTTTGAACAAGAATTAACTAGGTTAAAGTCGTAGCCAAAACAAGATAGAATAAAAATATATAGAGATAACTGAAATGCTAGTAAACTCTACTTGTGCTCCTCACGCAAAACGTGCATAGTAATACAATGTCACTTAAAACTCTTCAAATAAATAACTTATGATCAATGCATGAACTAAATTAAATTTATTGTCAATTTTGACCAGCTTAATGCTTTTATCAAAAACCACATGTTTTATAAAGTGATACATGATGTCAATGACATTCATTCTGCTGTCCATTACTTGATTTGCAGCGAGAGATAAAGCATTCATGCTATCATAATGAAGATTGGCAACTCTTTGTTTCAATCTCATCTCAATGAAAAGCTTATCAAAATAGCTTTCTTTGCCGCTTTTGTTATCCCTACCTATACACCTTACGTTGTAAACTGAGTTAAGCATATGTGCAAGGTAAATTTCTAACTAATGCATTTATCATCAAATGTAAACACATACCCAATTGTAGAAGTACTTTAGTCCAAATCTTATCCATAGTCAGCATCAACGTACTCTAACAAGAATTTGACATTCTCTAATAAATATCAAGCATTGACCAATTTTTTTTTATATTGTTTAAATACTTGAGAATCCATTTTATTGTTTGCTAGTGAAGTTTTTCTAGATTTGACATGTATTACCTACTCAACTTGTCCATTGCTAGAGCAATATCAAGTCTTGGGCATATCATCAAATACACAGGATTGTTCATAGCTTTGTCATAGGAAGCACATGACATTGGGATGCAAAAAGTCTGAAATGTGTTACCAAAGAAATCCATAATCTTTTGGATTTTGTCATTTTGAACATATTAAGTATAACTTGAATATACTTGTCTTGACTCAATCATAGCCTCTTTTTCATCAAATCTCCATGAATGTTCATATCTAATATATTTTTCGACTCATCCATATCCTTCATCTTGAAATAAACTTCAACTAATTCTTGCAACTATCAACGATGGATTGCTTCTTCGTCAAGATGATCATGTCATCCACGCAGAGTACTAAAAAAATAATATTGAAGATCTCATTATTCAACTTCTTCATGTATACACGAGGATCATAAACATTATGTGAAAAACCTTGTACCTTCATGAGTTCATCAAATCTCGCATTCCACTATGAGCTTGCTTCAATTTATATAATAATTTAAAAATCTACAAACAAATTTATTCTAAACATTCTACTCAAAAGCAATTGGTTGTTTCATGTAGATTTTCTCCTCTAGAGATATAAAAAAATCATGTAAGTATGTTCATTTGATTCATAACAAGACTAAATATTGCAACCAGTGCACATATCACACAAATGGTATCATACTTTGCTACATGTTTGAAAAAACTTTACTATAGTCCACAACATTCCCTTGTGTGAAACCTCTAATCATCAATTTGGCTTTAAAGATTCTATCATCTGCTAGACTGTATTTCAACTTGTACATCCACTTGCAATCAATCAAAATCTTAAATTTCTCCGAGTGTCACATCATTAATTACATAGTGATGAAATTGCTACTCAACAATCTTACATAATTTATTTCACATGATTTTGATTACTGAACTATTTAGCTTGATCTTGTTGAGGTTAACTCCGGTTAAAGAGTAACATCATGTTATGGTTATTTATAGCTAGATGTGTCGTTGGATTTGGGTATAAATATACCCCCAAGGCTTCTACTCTGAAGTCATTTAGTTTTTAGTAAAGCTTTTTGTGCGTTTCAGCCTTGGACGTAGCCCCTAAGGATGAACCACATTATATGAGTGTGCCGTGTGTTTCTACTTGGCTTGAATGATTCCTCGTTTTACGTTTAAGAATTGGTATGAGAGCTAGGTTACGATTCGGAGTTCGATTCAAGTTTTGGTTAAATGTTTTTTCCACGTACGGGAAAAATTTTCTTTTGCTTTTCTGAAAGTTTCTTCATGGAAGAAGTTTTCTTCTTTATCAAGTTTTTAGCTTTCTGAATCCTGTTGACAGTGCGTGTAGTGTCAGAAGTTTTCTTCAGTTTTCAGTTGTCTGAATCTTCTCGACAGTTTGTGTAGTCTCAAAATCTTGAGTTTTTTCAGAGCTCTTTAATAATACTTTTCTTTCCGTTTTGGAATTCTGACAGTTTTTTGTAGTATCAGAAGTAGACTTCAGTTTTTTTTTTCCAGATTGCTAATTCTCAGTTTGTGATTGAGTCACTAAGTACTTTGCCACTTGTTGTGACTGACAAATTAACAAAGTGCTTTTAGGTTCTGGTTTTGCAAAAGTAGTAGCAGGCAGAGGAGAAACTGCTCGGCTGGTGGAAAAACTTGAGAGTATTCGCTTTTGTATTGTCCAAGTTTTTTGGAAGAGAAGGCGAGGAGAATCGAGGTCGGTAGGAGCACGGAAGTCGATCCGAGGAGACTAGGTTTTGGAGATAAGTGAGGGTTGAGTTGCCTTCACCCCTTAGCGGAGATCAAGCGTTGGTTGTTTAAAAGGGGCCGAGTGAGTGCAGTAGCAAAGGAGTGTCAATCGAAAACACTCTGCGTGTCATCTTCTAGATAAGGTAATACCGCTGCAATCATGATGTCTTGCGTTTGAAAAGATATATGGCATTGTAACTCAACTTTACCATCCATTCAAGTTTTTTGGTTTAAATGAGATATTATTGATGTGATCGAATTTCCACGTTTTTGGTTGTTTATGTTTGATCGTTTGAATAAACTTCAACATGTTTTCATACGACCAATGCACACATCGATAAGATATTGTGTTTACCTATTTGGGCACATAATCTCCTTTTGTCACATGACGTTGCATACCTCACATGATAAAATTGTTTGAACATGTTTTTATACGACCCAATGCACACATCGAGTTTATGTTCACCTGTTTGTGCACATAATTCGCTTTTGGCACATGAAGTTGCATAACTCACATGAAAAGATTGTTGTACCCAAAGAAGATTGGGGACAATCTATAATCAGGTTGTGATTGCACATGTGATAGGTTATGAATGAGGGCACCATATTTGATACCTTGTTTGCCGGTCTGATTGTGTGAAAAAGCCTCCTGTGGCAGCGACATCCAGTCAGAGATGAGTACAATCAAGGTAGGAAGCACCCACAACTCTTCATTGACGTTGTAGAAATAGTACTGGATCACGATGTATCGATTGATATGTTTAGATATGACTTATAATTGACAAAAAAACAAATCATATGAAAAGATGTATGATGTATTGTTCGTACTTTAAAATTTGAATGTAATAGATATCATGTTTGAAAATCATCATCATTGTAAGCTAAACGTTATCACTTTTATTTTGAGTTTGTCATGCTTTGCATTTTTTTCTATCCACTTAGACTTCTTGGAAGTTTTAAAAAAAAATTAGTAACAAAAAATTAACAAGAACAAATTAGATCTCCACAAACTGATCATCGGATTGTTTCTACATGGTCGCCAAATAGTGCTATACACCTCTAATTCGGCGAATGCTCCAAACCGTTAAAATGCCCTCAAAAAAAGTCACCTTGCTTGACTGAGTCTTCGAATACATACACGCCTTACAATACGACCACTGGCCAGAAAATCACACACAACAAACGACGACAGAAAGAAATTTCTCACTGCAATTGCAGAAAATCGTTTCATTCCACGACAAGCTTTTACAAAACGTTGCGCGCAAATGTGCGGCCGATCGCCCCCGTACTCCACAACACCATGTGCTGGAACTAAGGATCAGTACAAACACCATATCAGTAAAGACGACACTCACCGCCCCAACGGCTCGACTGCGTCGGTGAGCGGCTACCACGGCGCCATCGGACCATCGGACGGTCGTAGTCAAAGATCATAGCAACCCTCATTCAAACCCCCCTCCTCCAAGAGCTCCAGCGCTCTCGTGTCCATGGGAACATCTCTCCGTGCTCAGTGCAGAGTCCACTCACAGCGAACTCACCACTTTCAGAGAATCGACGAGGATCGGAGACTAATCGTCGTCCTTGAACTCCCTGCGAGGCGTGGATGGCAAAGATCAGCCGATTGGAGTTTAGTCACCGAACGAGCTTTCTGTGATTTCACGAATAGAGCAGGAAAGGAAGCATTGCAGTTTCTGGAAATAGAAGTGTTTTTCTATGGCTGATTGGAATCCAGATGATTGTCGTGTTCAGTTCTAGCCATCAATGCTTTCTTTTCCGGTCCTTAAAGTGCACATGGTCCTCCCTCTGTTCGTGAAATGGAATAGGCAATTACAGTCGAGGACCACGTCTGATTTATGGCTGGAGTAGTTTCGCTGCCTGGAGGTAATCTAACAGTTTCTTGATAACGTGGCAAAAATTGGACATGGCAGGAGCAGCGATTGGGTTGAGACGTAGACGAACCTGCGATCCAAGTAACGGGGTTGAACCCCAGAGCCTTGACATGTCGTGCAAGTGATGGCGCCATTTCCTTCACAGTTGATGCAACTGGACACCTCCTTCTCACCGACGCCTATCATCACGGTGATGTTTCCTGCCCCGGCACAAAATCGACACGTTTCTGCGTACGACGAAAGGAGGTCAATCTCCACACGTAGTATTCTGTCGTGCACAAGCCATCGCAGGCACATGCTGCCACTGCGTGCAAGCAGAGAATTCTTGAACATGTTGAAGCCTTGCGGCATGTACACTTCGACAAGCAAATGTGCTGCGAGGACTTACGAGATCCGGTGCCCTTGCATGGGAAACAAGGTTGATCGTTCTCTCTTTTTTCCTGCACGAAAATGTCACCACCATTAATTTACTCGAACAATGATACGGTTTTATTTGCATCGATGAAGTGCGAAGTTGACAATTACAAGACTTCAACTGATTTAATACTTCGGCAAAGTGATGTCGAAAAAAGGCCTTACAAACTCCCACCCGAGACTGACACCAGACGTAGTAGCCAATTCTGGAACGATTGATCCAGACGACTCTGGCAGCGGCTGAGGCAATTTGGTTTCATGAGTGACTTACTGAGCCCTTCACTTGCGTTTCATAGAAAACGGGAATGCCGATTCCGACAGCGAGTCCTGCCACGCCGACGCCGATGGCCAGAATCTGCACATTTATTCACACTGCTCCAGTTCAGCGCGTTTTTGGCTCAGTAAGAAGATTTTGGAGACAAAAATGAGGGAAACACATCCTGCCACACGCCAAATTCTTAGATCTAAACCTGTCCTAGTATGCTTCCGTGCGGCAGTAAATTCATTGCCACAGCTGTTCCAACTAGCAATGAGATACCTACTGTGATGTGAAAGCGCCATTGCTTTTCAGCCCAAGGTCGAGCATTGAAGGGGTTTCCACACTGAACGAGTTAAATACGGACATTGTGCTGAACTCCGAGAAGGCTGTTCTAAGAGCCCAGTGATGCCTGAGCTTCAAGTCGTATCAGAGAGCCAGAAGAGCGAAATGATGGGTGGTGCGAATTGGGCCAAAGTCTTCCAGCCAGTAGAACAGATTTACATTTGAAACTTGCTATTGACGCAAATTTTCGACGAGACTGGCGCTGTGGAGGTCGAAGAGTTCGCCAACTACGCAATGAGGAGGCAGTGATGAAGAATTGGCACGCCAGAAATTGGAAATGGCGGGAATTGAAGACAGTGGTTGCAAGCAAGTGAAATTCACATTCATTATTGAACGAAACGACGTACCGTGTCTTGGTCTAAGTCGGCTCGTGGGCAAGGCAAGCTCCTCCTCGTGGGCGCAAGGGGTGTAAAAAGAGGACCCGCATTCAGCTTTTGAAATTCGCGAAGACCAGGTCTGTTTCTGGCCACATGACCGCCCACCGAAGCTCCATTTCCACTGTCAGGCGCAGTTTTGGTATCGGCTCTCACGAGAGCAGAAAATGCACAAGGGCAGAGACATGCTGTGGCCATTGTTGCCATGCCTGGACGCAATTCACAATGCTTCTCGTGGCTTCAGCTGTCAGCGCTCCATGGCGTGGCACTAGAACCACCCACACTCCGGAACAAGTGTACAGGTCTTCCCTATTTGTGTCCCTGCTATCCTCTACGTTATCCTCATGCAAGGCGGGGGGGGGACATAGCGGGCCGGGTGACCCCACGCCCATTGCCCAATTCCTCCCTCGTCTGCCTGCTGCTGGAGTCCTTCGTCGATTTCGCATTTCCCATGGCATCCATCGGGGCCATGCTTCGGCAACGTGGAGCCCCTTCAGCTTCCGATATAGATAGAGGAGCCTCAAACGTCCACTGAAACCGCAGCCAAGTTTGGGCGTGTCTGGACATCTTTATGCGCCTGTCAAAAGCACTTACACGACCAAGTTACCGAGGCTCCGGCTTAAGCTATACCCCGATTCTGCCACTGTACTTGACGCGAGAATTCATCAGCCAGTCTGGTAGTCTTGTCACACGGACGACCGATCGTCGTGAAGTGATCATTCCCGCTTCCTGAAAATTGGGGACCATTAGTTGAAGGTCGCTGCAGAGATTTCAGTGTAAGTTTACAGTTGGTCTACCTCTACCTATACCACTACTCGTGTAGAACCTGGGGCAGTTTCCACGCGACGTATGCAGAAAAAGTTTGGCTTTCATGGACGAGTTCGTTGCCAAGTGATTCTGGAGAGGAGTGAATAACAGGAACCGGTAAGATTTCACGTTATTCTACGATACGTCACTGCAACCTTCCCATCACCAACGTAGGTTCAGAAATTCATCGAGGTTCAAACACGTGTGTACTCAAGGGGGTAGTGAGAGTAAGATTTCAAATTGATCGTCACATACTTCGATCCGTATTCGGCCTTCACAATTCAACCACTATTACCAGTTCCCTGCGTAGCAGCAAACCTGAATTGGCCGGATGCTACACTGGGAGTTCGGTTTAAAATGCTTGCAATTCTTGTATTGCTTTCCTTTCAATTTTACATAATGTCTATTCCTGTAATTTTACACAATGGTGTCCTACTACTCTGCGTTCCGGTAGCTCACTAAAGCCTTCACTGAAACTAATATGTCAAGAAATAAACACCCTTTCCGGGCATTGTAAGAGCCTAAATGATGGCCGAGATCCAGACCATCCTCATTTAGGCGGCTACGGGTATGGGAATCTTTTGGAAGTCATTTCGTAATTGACCACATGCAGCATTAGCATCCAACCCGCGCGTCTGTCTAATACTCGCTGTCACTTTCCGAGTGCCTAGGGCTTCTACGAATGCCATCACCTGCAGAACATGAGCGAGAAAAATCTTAGAAGAGCAAACCAGGAAAGACGACAGAGTAGATCCGAGCACGAGCACATTCCACGGCAAGCACCTCTTACCTTGTAAGTCCATAAGGATCAGTCTACAGCATGATGTACAATGTAGAGCTTAAAAAGCTCCAAATTGTGTCAACTAAGACCATCTATCGACAGTGTCGAGCCGACAGCAGGCAATTGAGACAGCGGATGACGATTTGTATTGAAGTCTTGAGTCTCAGAAAGACAGTGGTTGGACTATGTATTGCAACTTACCGCAGCTTTCTTGGGGCGTCGAAACTCGGAATCAGCTATTGGATTGTATGGTATAACATTGACGTGTCGACCGAGCTTCCAATGATTGAGTAAGTTGGCTAGCTCCTCAGCATGTTCTGGCTTGTCATTAACACCATCTGCACAACGTCGTCGACACAAGAATCAATACTCGGTCTGCAACAAGCTGTCTCTTATTCCCTCTTCAAGTTCCCCGCTACTGAGAAGTTTCGAAGACAGGCGTAATAAAGAAGCACGAGGATGTTCCAACGTTGAGGGGATCTACATGTGGTGTAGACAGCCCCGACGGTAGAAAACATTAGATGGTTCTCGGCGTCTTCTCCTGTAGCGAATGGATCTAACTGAAGCTGGAGTCCACCTTGCTCACGTATGATGCCCAGAACTTTTGTGCAGATGGGTTTGGGCAACCATGGGTTTGCCCAAACGACAAATTCATTGCAAGTGATCACGTAGGAGAAAATGGGTGAAGAAGAGTGTACAAGTACCTAGTAGAGTATACTCGAATGAAACACGCCGCCCAGTCTCGAGAAAGTACTTTCTACAATCTGAAAGTAATGCTTCCAACGGATAACCCTTCGCGCTGGGCACTATCTGCGACCGTAATTCCTGGTTTGGAGCATGTAAACTGGAAGGAAACAAAAAAATTAACAGGGATGCAAAAGCAAATCCACCGAAGCCATGATTTATCGACGAATTTTGCCTGTAAAATCAGATAAGATGCTCTAAGTTGACATTCTCACCTAATTGCAAGAGTGGATTGTAACTTGTGAGTTGCCAGTTTCGCTAACGTATTCGGTACACCGACTGTCGATATAGTCATCATTCGTTGTCCAATCAATATGTCCTGCAAAAATTCCTTACTATAATGAAGATTGGATAAAAGTAAACTTGTCTCGATTGCCAAAAAAAAAAAAATCTATATTGCACGACGAAAACGAGGATCTGCAAGTGACTGTATGAGCAGGGTCCATAATCAGTCACGGCATTGAACTCTAGGTGCAACATACGGAGGTGTGACAAATAAGTAAATAACTGATGCACGGGAGATCAGTAGCGATATATCAAACCAGCATTCCAGCAGGAAATCTTTTATCAAGGAAGACCCAGGATGAGAAAAACAAACCTTATTCAAAGAACGATGTGCCGCTAGAACATTAGTCAAGTTCATCATAGGTTCTCCCATTCCCATGAAAACAACATTTGAAACACGATGTTTGAACAGATCCTCCACGGCTAGCACCTGCAGTAACACAGTGCCACACATTATTGAATACTGCAATAAGCATGAACCTCGTGACTAAACAAAGAATACACACCGATTACTATGTATGCAGAATATGCTTTGTAGGTATCGACAGTACACGATAATAAAATCACCATGTCCGACGGAGAATCCAAAACAACAACCCACTCAGGTAAACATTTGGGAAGTTCAGCAAGTCACCTGTTCGACGATCTCATGAGGCTTGAGATTCCGTGAAAAGCCACCTTTTCCAGTTGCACAGAAAGCACAGCGGAGGGCACATCCCACCTGTAATGAAGCATGTACCGATTACTTAATATATCAAAATCATACGGGACAGAAAAAGTCTGCGGCCAGTTAGAATTTTGAAAGCCCTAGATGGAATTGGACGAGTGCAACTGTCCGTGAGCTCCAACCTGAGAGGAAACGCATGCGGTAAGCCTGGTTATAGCTCCGGCCTTGTCCTGAACTGGAATGCCAACTGTTTCCACTAGAAGATTGTCGGGCAGCCTCAGAAGTACCTACGTCGAAAAACAGAAACCACACCACATCCGATTCAGAACGCCGTAATGTAAGCGCTTGGGTACACAGGGTTTGCACAAGAAAAGATCCACAAAACCATCGGGCTCGAAGTCCATTTCATGTAACCGGGTTTCGAACCCGAAGATTGTGCCACTTCTTTCCAATTCCTAAGCTGCGCTGCGTCAGTTCCGCACCGTGCATGAGTGGGAATTTTTTAATGCAGGGTAGAGTACGATAATTCACGAAAAAAGTCACAAGTCACTCTTGATGGTGGTCACCTTGATGGTTCCGTCGGCTGATCTCGCAACGTGGTGCGTAGGAGAACGACCAACTTGCCATCCCTCACTAACAAGAGCCTCCTTGAACACCTTAGGTACTGATCACACGAATTGCCAATGGATGTGTCCTGTAAGTTTTTTCACCAACCCAAGCGAGTTCAAGCTCTTCATTCAATTCGCCAAAATGACAAGAGACAGTCCTGCAGCTTTTCTCGCCCTTGTTCAGCAGCGGCGGCGGGAGGGTTATTGCTTGATAAAACGAACAACCGCGACGACGGTGCATTCATGAAGCAATACTTAAATCCTAAACCCCAGCTTCTAAGATTGAGCAATAAGATATTGCCCACACTCGTACAACTATCAAGAATGCAAATTATCACGAATGGAAAGTTGAGCTCACAGTGGTGAAAGTCGTCTATGCTGGAAGCCCTAGTCTTGTATAGAAGCTGATGTATCTGCCTTCCGCGATATTTTTGCTGTGGGAATGAGTCACACAATTAGCAACGAGAAAAACAAAAAAGACAATTGCCAGATCGATAAGATTCACGAACCGATAGATGACGATAGAAATTGCCCGAAAGAGAGAGCGACAGAAAACAAACCTCGCCCAAGGAGACCGCCAAATCTACGAGCTCTTCTTCCGACTTTCCGAGCAGGAATTTACCGCCCGCCGCATCCACGTTCTCCGAGCCTTTACTCGGGGCGACAGCAGCACCGAACGCCTGCTGGGAGCCAGAGGACGAAGGCGCAGCTCTGTCGCCGGTCTGAAGAGCGACTCTGATCTCCGCCACGCGACCAGCGGATGCAAAATTGCCCAGAGACGACGAGCTTCGACCGCTCTTCCTCCATCCGGACAGCACATTCTTGAACAGAGACGACTGGCTCGACGCCGAGCACGAGTTCATCTGATGTCGAGCATTGCTCGTGAGAGTCGCCGTCGGCACGCACCACCACACCGCCTGCATCGCCATCGCTGCTCAGGATTTCGTCGAGCGTTCTTTCCTTCCCTCTGTCGGTGCTTATGCATCATCCTCTTCGACCCTCTTCACCGGCCGAGCCGGTCAACGTTGACGGTTCCTTCCGACCGCCCCTTGACCAATCGCTCCATCGGCTCTCGTCTTTCCGGTTATGTTGCGATGAAAACCGTCTCCTCTGGATTTTCCTCTCACACTAACAAGAACTATGAAATAAATCTTGGACGTACATTCGTTTCGCCTGCTGCTTTGTCTAATTTATTATTGAACAAAATCTTGACATATCATTCTATATTGAGATTGAAACTACTGAAAAATAGAGGTTATTTACTTGATAGTAGTTAAAATACTTGATGTGACCCATGAAATTTCATTTCACCAACTTTACAATTCACACCTTATCTAATATGAACATGGCTCTATCGCGGTGGAGGTGCCCGAGCAACATACATCACAAAAACTTGGGATATTGTTTGAGTAAAAGCAAATCTTCGCCAAGCATTCGTATTTGCTTCAAAAAATAAACTAGTTGGAGAACCCAAAGTCCAAGATCACCTATCCACTTTGCCACATGACGTTTGCAGAGGCATGTATTGCTTGGCTGCTGCTAGAATTTGTACGCTCTCAACCGTGGAAAAGAGTAACATAAAACATACACATATTTGTACAAAATTCCATATTAGAACTTATCGTCGATATGCTGTTAGTAAAATCCCATGGTGTTTGCTTGATGGGTCTCATAAGCAATTTACATTCCGATAGAGTCCAACAAATTTAAACCTCTTAAAATAAAAAGTAAATGTTTCAACAATTTTCAATCAATAAAAATATTTTCTCTTACAAATGAAAACATACCAAAATCAAAGTATTTATATCATTTCAACTTATTATCTTTTCGTTTTCCGAGACTCTCCCGGAGAAAAGTCGTAAAACTCCTTATTTTTTTAGTGTTAAGATGATGGGGATCACAATAGGTCCATACGGATATGAGGGAGTATTCCTTTGAAAACTAATGTACTCTTGAAATTCTTGCGGATTTATCTATCCCCGGCAATTTTTGGTTTTAGCTGATCGCCCTCATTTGTGCGAGTCCATCGAATTATTTTCCAATCAATTTACAAGAAGGCTTCCCTTTAAAAAGCTCCTCAACTTTGAAGAAAAATAATCGTTTGTGAAATGGAAAGAGTGACAAACATTTTCTGTTCATAATTGCATGGGATTTTTGGTCTACTTGCTACTTCTTATTTGATTCATAGCATTCAGCAGTTTATAGTTCGTACTCATTGTATACAGGTGTATTTATTTTTTCACTTGGTATATCTTTTGAACTTAATAATATTCACTTTCACACTTTGTTTATATTAATTATTTGCTTTACGTACCAAATCTGTAATCATTGTAATATTTTATGAGAAAGTCAAAAGTAAAACTTACCCCCCGAATTATCATCGTGGATCTTATGAACATAGAAATCAAATATCTATACATGTGTAGAGTTTATAAGTTACTAAAATAAAAAGCAAGAGTTATCTTGACGATAGTCAATTACAAGCAACTATTAAAACTAAATTTAATCAATGTTTATAAATAAAGATTTGAGTATTGGTCTTTGTTAAGATTTTCAGTTCATGTCATTCATATGAAATTTGAAGTTATGATAAAATGAGGACAAATTTGTTCAAATATTTTGTTTGTTTCAGATACATTTTACTTTATTTTGGATTACAATGAAATGCATAATTTGGTATAAAATTATTCACATTTAATTTTTATTGAAAATTTAAATGTGAATAATTTTGTCTTGTCACAAATTTGTTGATACTTAAACGTTTTATCATGCGTTTTATCATCAGGTATAGTTATTACTCAACATATATTGTTGATCATGAAAAGAGTTCCATATTTACAGAAATATAAACAGACAACTATGACATGATAGATTGATATGATATGAAATGATAGATGGTACTGAAGTTAACGTAACATCTTGCTATATTTGTCTGTAGAATGGCTTTAAGTGAAATCAATCATATATCTTGCATCTTGCATGCAAAATTTATTCAAATATCTGAAATAAAGAGAAAATGAATAGTTATGTGGATCACTCTGAATTGTAGCTCAGCACAAATGTAAATCAATCTTCATCAATCATGCTTGAAGAATATTTTATAAAATGGAAATTTAAACAAAGAAATTTGTGAAAGAGAAATATTTTTGAGATTCTAGCGGAGGAGAATTTGTAATTGTATCCTTTAGAGTTGGATCACATTTGCAAGAGGATTTATAAAAAAAGACACAAAATAATGAAAAAATTATGTTTTATAAATATTCTAATTACAAGTAGCATATAAAATTACTCGTATATATGTTCACAGATACATTTTGGAAATTTGACTGTACACATATGTTGATATTCCACCATTTATAAAAAATACACCAATTCACATCTGTAATTTCAGTCTTATAAGATACATGTGAAATTTTTCCTTTATGTACAACTAATGTACAACAAATGCAGAAGACTGATTTAAAATCGGAACTGGTAACCATCATAATATTCCCAAGATTTGACCATTTGTTACCGAGGTACCCAAGTACAGGAGTCCCCCTTTTCTTTTTTTCTAGCCTTGGAGTTACACACTACTTTAGACTGGAACTTATGTGGAGCTACTTGCTCACACTAGAATATATGTGTTTCATAAAGACCAGAGCCTATAATACTAAGTAGTGGTGATATTGCTGTCTTTAGTTTATAATGCAACTTTTTCTTGAGCCAAATTTTTCCATAACTCCTAGTAATCACATTGAATGATGATTGGGTGCTCTATTGTTCACAGACCATCCTTCACACAAAGTCTAAATATATGACAAAAAATACGGAGTCCTTGCCCTCTGTATCCGTTAGGTTTCATCCCTGTTCCCATCCTTCTCGCCCTCTTCACACTCGAATGGCGCCACGGGTGCGTCCAAACTGATAGAATTATCAGGAGGACATCCACACAAACGGGCCTTCCCTTCCGTCCATCCGCTATCCGGCGGGCCGGTCAGATTCGAGACACTTGTTTTAGAGCGAGAGAGAAAGAAAGAGGCTGAGATCTCAAAGAGCAAGGGATCCGGAATGTTGTCCCGGGCCGGGACAGGGACGGGGGGATGGTCAGGGACGGGACAGGGAAGGGAATGCAAAGGCCCCGCGGGGCGTCCTTTTGAACGAAAGATGTTCTATAGTAGTCCGTATCTCAAGGGAGGGAAAGAGCGTCGCTAACGTCTACGAGACAGACAGCTCCTTTTCGGGCGGGCCGACTCGAAGCCGCGGTGGTCGTGGTCGTAGTCGTCGTCGTGGTGGTCGTGGTCAGATTGTCGAGGTGAGTTCGATGCTCGTGCGTTCAGCGCATTCTGTCACAAGAGAAGAAATGTTTCTTGGATACAGGCAGCAGTCACCAGCCGAACAGCGCGACCTTGTGAGCACCGTGGGGATCGAAGTGTTTTTGGGCTTGTGTGCATGTGGCAGTCAGTCCATCAAGAGCCGAGGCTGATCAGGGTGAGCTTTTATGTATTATTTGATCATCATTTTCTTCTTTGTGTGCGTCGTAAGCATTCCGGTCTACGTCTCTCCTGTTTGAAATTTTTTTCCATTTTTTTCCTTCTCGATTTTTTCGGATGGTTTTCTCGGCGTCTACTCTCATTTTTTGATTCCACAACGAATGAATTCTTCTGCCATAGCAGAGCTTTCAGTCGCAGAGGGTCCTCGTTAGTAACCTAACTTGGTTGTTCTTCGACTCCCCTCGCTGGGATTTTAGTCTTCTCGATCAAAGGGGTGAACGTACTCGTCTTTGACCACGTTCTATTGACATGTCTTTTTGGATTTTACATGGTTATACTAATTTTGCTTTCATAATCCCATTTCGCCTGACTCTTTTTCAAAGTTCTCACGTTTTCTAAACAATCAGCCTTTTTGTATCACCAGAATAATTTCACTCGTCGGTGAGAGACGAGAGCCAGGTAAGTCAGTAATTTTCCAAGTTGGTACCTGTCGAATCTAAAACAGAGTTCTCTCAATGGTTTCTCCCTTGAAATTTGAAATTTTTATAATTTATTTTTTAATATATATAAGAATTTGGAACAGTCTATGTGTCAGGAACTGCGCGTTCTTGCGAAAAAAGGTTGCCTGTACCGTTCTTGTTGGCACAGCAATTCTCTTAGCTTTTCTGCTCGTTTTGTTTTCTCGTGATAGCGCAATTTTTTTTCTCAATAAAAAACGCCGAAAATATAGTCAGATAGACGTGATTGTCTAATGCTTCGTGTTACATGAGGCTTATGGCTTACGGTTAGTTCACTTTAACTTTCCATCGAGTGAGAATAATCGTAATAAGACTGCATCAACCGTACCTGCCCACACTGCACGCTGCATGATTTCGCTTTTCCTTTTTTTTGCGTTAGTTCTGGTATGCCTTGGCCATTCAATACTTTTCACGTATCTGATTTTTGGACTCCTCGAGAACACTCAAGTGCTAAAATTGTTTACCTGCTTTTAACATATAACACTTGGAAGTAGAGAGAAGAGGTACTGGGGGGGTACCAGAAGGAATCTGTTGTGAAATTTCGAAGTTTTCGCACCTGACTTTGATATAAGTATTTATAAAACTGAAACGAGGTCTTTTAGAGCCCTCTAGCATGTAAGAAAACGCGAATGTGCTCACGTATGATATTTTTTCATCTCAGGGAGTGATTGACTGCATCAGAAGTGTGCAAGGACATAAAAGGAGTTGAGCCTGGCGGCAGTGTTATCATCTAGGGACGGCTTCTGGTTTGGGCGAGATTATGGCGACTGGTTTGGTTGCGATAACAGAGCGAGCTGCGGACGGGGGTCCATTGCTCAATACTGGAGAAGATGAAAGCATCGCTCATGTTGCTCCTGATGTGGGCATTGTTCTAGAAGAGGGGCCTGTGCAACAGAATGGAACTTTGTACATCACGACGAAGTAAATTCCTTCTCTTCTATGTTCAGCCATATACGCTCACCAGGGTATTTAGGAGTTCGATATCGACTTTTGAGAATTCCTCCCGAATGTTGATGAGTTCAGGGAACTAGAATGAGAAAAAAAATTTCATTGGGAGCCGTCGTTCTTGCCTTTGAAACTTCAGTGTTTCTAGAGAAAAGCGGAAATCAAAGACAGGTTTTTGAAACATTAGATTCCAGCTTCGATTTCTCTTTGGTTGTTCTTTCTAACTCAGTACATTTAACTACAGGCGTCTCATATGGCTAAGTAATGACAATCTTCAAAAGGGTTATGCCGTCAGCTTTTTGTCTCTCTCCATGCACGCAATTTCCAGGAATCCAAACGCATATCCGGTGCCTTGCATTTATACTCAGGTGACAATTATGCTTTTTACTCTGCCACCCCGCTCGGTAAGCCTAGGTTGATGTCGTCTGAGTTTCAGAACAAATTTTGGTGCGTATGATATGTTAGTGGTTGTTTCTTTGATCAGATCTTGCCTATATATATTTCTCAAAAAACCGTAAAAAAATTTTCTTTGCAAAGTCTTAAGGTCAGAATTACATAGCTATACATGTGCACTTTGGAACTTAGATCTTGCTCAAGGTGGTCTTTACAAATTAGTGGTATGCGTGTCAGACATATTAGACTTGCCGACTTAACCGTAATCCACTCTATGTTAGGCTACCCCGAAATGCAGAGGGAACATTGTATGTTTATTACATACAATCCGAGGCTTTTTTTTCCTGCTTTTGCAAGAGTTGTATTTCTCTGTACGTGTGATTAGCAGTTTTGAAATCGTTTAATTTAATCAAGACATTGTAGAGATTGTGTGGAATGAAACTGCTATCAACATTGTTGGAGTTAAAAGCCTGTTCCTTGGTACTAGACGTAAGAATGTGGTACGTGGCCTGGTGAAATGTACTCATGTGCTATATGTGTTCTATCTGTCATGTCTTTGGCAATCTTGGGCTTATGCTTGATCTTAAAAGCTGATTCTCGCAGCTTAACAGGTAGCTATGGTTGCGTTTATTTACTTTCCGGGGGATGGGGCGGAAACGGTACAGATTGAGAGTGGCGATTCAGATTCTGAGTACGAGGAGGCAGACGACATGGAGGATTCTTTGGAAACAGAATGTGATGAGGAGGAGGACTTGTCCAAAGTAGAAGAGATGAGACTTGTTCCCAGAGATCCAGATATCTGTATCCTTTTTGAATCCAGAATGTAATCGTTCATAGGGTAATCGGGATGGTAAAGCTCTAGTTCTTGACAGAAGGTATGTAAAGCAGTTCTGGTGTCTCCTCCTGTGGACATTAGGAAACTACAGACAGCGCGGAGGGCTTATCGCGTTCAGTAGTAATAGACAGTGGTTTTGCTAAGGAATTTCCAACTATCTGTCAAATCTGCAATAGTCTGATACTTTCCTTAGGAGCTGTCGTGTGGGTTTTTTTTTAAAGTGGCGGTTGTCGATTTTGGTTCCATACTTTCTTTTGCTCTACAGTTTTCTTTCTAGTCACCTGATATTTTGTTCTGAAGTTTTTCTCCTATTGCTCTGAAGTTTGGAAGCCAGTAGTAGCCAGTATATTTTTCAAAGGATGTCAGCCGGTTTGAGATTCCAGCGTCTGAGTAGTTGATGTCCTCATCCACTTTGTTTAGTTTTGTGCTAAACTGACTTTCTTTTGGAGGGAAAAGCCTTGATCGACCATTTTGATATCAGTGGACCAGATATTCCAGGTTCTTTGTGATTGTGCGTTGCTGAACCCAGATCCGACAGGAGGTATGTTGTCCTTGCTTCGTTGCCATGACCTTGGATCAGTTTGTTGCATTGACATTTTCGTTGCATGATGTTGATATGGTCCTGAAGTATTCTCAGTTGAGGTTACTCTAGGATCCGGGTTGACGTTTCAACAAAGATATGACGGCTGGACTGCTGGTATCACAATGCCAAGAAGAGAGGTACCACAGCCAATGTTGATACCCTTCTCATTGTCTCTCATGGCGTGAGATAGATCGTGATCATGAAGTGTCGAAAGTTCCAAGGTGTCGAAAGTATACTCTCTACTTTAATGGACTTTTTAACAAGATATACTGGAATAATCTTAGACGAGCTCTCGTTTAGTTTCATACTAATGAAACACCATAATGTGTGGAGAAAGTACTAATTCACTGAATTACGCTACTTCACAATATTATGCCTTTCGCATCAAAGAATTCCAGCAGATTCTTGATCACATTAAGAACTCCGGCACATTGATGACCTTCATCAGCTGTCGCTTTTAAAAAGCCCAGAGAACCATATCCGCTGATTCACAACTACTTATCTCCCTACTTGTCTTTTGTCTAGTTGGGACCGTTCAGTTACTTGCGAACGAGATAGAACTGAAACTCATTACTTTGGTTCTGTCAGACCAAGCTGGTAGTATCGCAGAACAGAAGTCGAACTCACTTTGATCTGGGAAGTACCCTGTCCACGAGTGATCCTGATCATCATAGGATTCAAGTTAGTTTCTTTTTGGAGCCGAGGAATTTGGGAGGTCTAACTTGTGGAGACTCGGAGGACAGTTTTGTGCTTTTTTGTGGTAAAAATGAACAACAGTCTAGGCGGTTGATGGCCTTCAGCACAAAAGATACTTAAGGGGAAAGCAAGTATTTGTTCTTACGGCGTCAAATGTCCAATCCCTGTCCTGAGGTCATGAAAGTTTGTGATAGGTGCAAGGCCGTTAGCACTCAATCCCTTTGTGTTGGCAGAACAAGAAGGTGAAGGTGAATGGTACTTTAATGTAAACGAGGTGTTGGGAGGGCGACCCATCGGTGAAGATGATGACAAGCCTTTCGACGTCACAGATATTAGCGAGGTGAGGATATCACATCTCTTTTCCACCCCATCGTAGCCTGTCGAATTTCCAATTTTCCCAGTATTTTCAAGTAGATGTAAGGTCTGAACGTTCGATCTTGTTGAGAGATGACTGTTGAACAAATGGATGTGCTCGGACGGACTAACTCATGTTGCCCCTTTGCAGTTGCATATACACGATCCAAGATTTGAAGATGCCGAAGAGGAGTTGGAGGAGGACGGTGCTGCGTAAGGGCTTCGTTGGTCCGAGTTCTAGTTTTGGTAGTGTAGAGCTAAGACAGTCACGACCCTTCTCTCGCCTGCTACATCAAATGGCAGACCTCAAACGTCTAGATCTTCGATCAGTAGTTCTCTTGGTAAATAGTAGTGAGCTCGGAATCTATAACATGTACGGAAATCAGTCGAGTGTGCCTTGGAGCTTGTTCGTTAACAGTCATTTCGAAAGGTAACACGCTCGTCTCGAGCTAATCAATCAGAGGTTATCCACATTTGTTGCCTTGATGGGTTTGAACTATTTGTAAACAATCTCACGCTCTCAACAACATTACTGTCAGTGTCCACCATGTCCTCAACGAGTTTAGCTGCTCGGTTCGGAAAAAGTATCCCGAAAGCAAGCCACAATCCTCCGAAACGAATGATTTTGTTGTGACAAGAAGTTTATATGGCCAGTTAGTGCCATTTCTCTGTCCAGGCCGGGGCTTAGACGAAGTACTTTGTGCAAGCCGAGGGTCCCCACCACCGCAACCTCTAGTACGTGGCAGTCGGAGTGACTTTCAAGTTAGAGCGAGGTCCGCCTCTTCCCAGAGATGGAGTCGGATTACCGAGGGTTCTGACAGGGACAAGCAGCTGGTCGAAGGAGCGAATTGTCCGAATGCTAATGCCCGAAAGATTGGGATCTGCGAAAAGGTACGTATCTCAGACGTACAAGTCTAACGTGGTCCAAAGCCTAGGTCCTCCTCGCCTCGTCTGTCCTCAAGCATGGCGCTGCTTACACACAGATACACACACACACACTCACCCGCTGCCATCGTCGTAGGTCAAAGCGGATGAGTGTCGGAATGGACACGTACTGCAGGAGGAGTCGAGCATCAATCAGCCCGGCCTCCTCCTCCTCGTACAGAACGTTCGCCTCCATGCGAGATTGGCTCGAGTGGCCGGGCACCATGCGTATTCTCTTGTCGAAAAGCCTAGGAATTTCTCGCCCGAGGCCTGCACAATCATGGCAATCATACGCCGCGGTTGACTCGAGCCTGCTGCTGTGCGCGACCATCGCGTTGACAAGGGGCTCGCAGCAGCAGCAGCAGCAGCCGTCTTCGTCCATTCCGTCTCGGTGTGTTTGTTTGTCGGTGATGGAAGCAGGCCAGACAAACCGACCTCATCAGGAGGAGCGATCGAATCTGATCCACGCCCGGGGACGACGACGAGGAGCATTTGAATAAAATAACGCGCAGTCAGTCGGCAGGAGGAGGGAAGGCTGAGTCTCGAGCATCGATCGAATCTTCTTCGGCTGGTCGTCGCTGCTGCTGCTGCTGCCTCTCTCGTCGATCCGTCCAGCCAGCCAGCCGATCCTGGTGTGCAGCTCTGGAGACCCCGGGTTACATCATGGCGTCGGTCCAAACCTCGAGTCGAGTTTAGCTGCACCTGATTTCTCAGTGGCCACGAGGATCTGGTGCATGCAGATCAGATCGTTTGATTGTCTGAGTGCTCGAGAGAGTGTGCCGGCAGTCGGTCGTGGGAGAGGTGCAGATGGTTCGGTGCTTGTGGTCATGAGAGGAGCAGGCCGATCCGAATGGCCTCGTCCCTCTTGATGAACCGAGTTGCAAATTCGACAAGATGGACTCGCGCAGTGAATGCTCGAGGAACATTGTGTCCTCGTCCTCGTCCTCGTCCTCCATCTCCTCGAGGTACAGGCTCGGAGTCAACGGGGGGAGAGAGAGAGAGAGAATGAACGAGGTTGGAGTTTGGGGAGATTTTGTCTGGACCAGCGAGCGACGGGGGGCTGCGAATTCACGTGAGCCTCGCAACGAAGCGGGACCTGCGCGAATTTCAACTCGTTCACGTGAGATTTGGCCACACCGTCACGGGGCGAGTTATTGCGCAAATGTGCAAGCGACCGCTGCCAATAATGTCGAGCGTCGAGCTAGGCTAGGCAGTAAGTGCGCAAGGCGTAGATGGGGGACCTGCCTGGCCCGCGAGGATCCGAGAGGCGAGATCCTACGCGTGGACCTTCATGATGATTCGAAGTGTGCGTCCTGTGGCCGCACTCGAGCCATCCGAGCCGAGCTGAACATCCCTGAGCTCGTCGATTTGGTACTGTGAGCGACTTTAAGCCCTCCTCCATGCCCCCATCTACCACCGGGCTCGTAATTTCGGTGGGTTACGAGCAGTACTGTAAGACGACGGCTTTATGGTCTCTCGTCCACATTGAAAGCATTGGGCTCCTTTAGGCTCCATTAGGCAGCAGCATTCGGCTCTCCAGTGCGCCAGCCACAGTGCGTGCCAGCGCTCCTCATTGAGGTTTCGTGTTCGTCTCTATCCCCATGCTGTACTATGATCAATGAAGTCGGCCCAGTGGAAGACCGCAGATATACTCCGACGAGGAATTTGTCGGAGGCCGAGGTATCGATTGATTGATTTGGCATTCAGCCATGGGAATCGAAATCCATTCTGCTGCTGCTGCAGCTTCCACTGGGTTGGGGTAGGGTGGCGAGGGGGAGGGGAGGGAAGGGAAGGTCTGCCATCATTGTATTATCCATGGAACTCGGGCGTATGATGATGAGATGGAGCGCGGGGAATCGAAGGTGTAAAGGAATGTGGATGCCCAAACTTCTTCAATGGCAACCAGCGGCAAGAAGGTTCTGTGTAAGAAGCCCCTCTCCCCTTTCCCCTTTCCCCATCCTCATGGATCCGAAACCAACACGCCAAAGTGCATTACCCTCATGAGCCTTAGCACCATCGGCCAAAGAACCAATCCTTCGACCACACACGAAGAAGGAGAGACAGAGATAGATCTCTCTCGCTCGCTCGCAGGCATGGACTCCGATCCAGAGACGCAGCGAGGGGGGAGGAAGTAGGAAGGACGAGCGAAATGGGGAGGGCCCGGGAACTCACAGCAAGATGGACGACGGGTCGGGGAACACATAGGCACGAGGCGAAGGCCACGATGGAAGGCGGGGGAAAAAGGCAGCGGGAGGGTGACAAGTGCTTACAGGAGCACGAGACGTAGGCAAGGGAAATGTCGTAAAGGGAGGGAGGGGGGCCGCCATTCAGATAGAGGCTAGAGCACTCTATCCACCCATTCAGCCATCCATGACACAGGAGGCGAGAACAGTGCGGATCCATGTGCGCCAGACAGTGCTGGTCGACGCCTGGTACGCCGAGATATAAAACCGCTGCAAAAGCGGGACCATAAACAACAACAGCGAGCAGCAGCAGCAGATCGTGGAGCGGAGCGTGCATGTAGCCGAGCTTTAAGTCTTCGGAGCGTAGCGACTCGCGAGCGAGCTCGGGCCAGCGCAAAGGGGGAACGGCCCCTTTATTGCCTCGTCGAGGTCGGGTGCCGAGACGCTTTGCGTTTATGAGGGCTCATAATCTCACGAGGCGCTCGCATTCCCCCCCTCCTTAAAATGTCGATCATCCCCCCAGAGCCATGGCAACGCTGCCCCTGCAGCACCAGCAGCAGAAGAGAAGGGGGGGCTACTACATTTGTAGCCGGAAGTAGTAATGCTGCTGGGGGCTGGGGCTGGGGCTGGGGGGGAGGGGCTGGGCAGGAGATAGAGAAAGGGGAAGGGGGTGGGGGAAATGGGGGCTGCAGCTGCGGGGTGGGGGGGGGGGGGGGGGTGGGGGTCGCGAAGAAGGGGAAGGGGAGGCGCAGGGCCCACCGCGACGATTGCAAGCGAAGCATGGCAAGGCAGAGGCGTCAGATGCGACGACACCATTCGACACGACTTGGCGTATGTAAGCATTATCATCAATACATGAATCTCGGCAAGCTTTAAGGTGCCTGCGATTCCATATATGCCTCGGTCGCGCCCATCTGCCATTGTAATCACCGAGAGCCTCAGCCGTAAATGCCACGCTGGGGCACGTCCAGTCATCCGATTCACTCCCTCGCTCTTTATGTCCGCCCCCTGCCAACGCGGCTTTTCGCCAGCGGGCCACGCTGCTGACTTCCAGTCGCTTTGGCCCGGTGCGCGTGTCCTCCCTGTTCAAACTTCCCCCCTCCCCCCAACCAACAATCATCAACTCCATTTCCCCTTCCTTTACTCCTCCCACGCCCGAATCGTACCCTCCCTTCCCCCCCCTCCTCCCCTCCTCTCCCGGACGCCCCAGATCTATTCCATAGCTTCCGCCTCCCCCTCTCTAGATGCCAGTTCGTTTGAAAGTGAAAAGTAGCACCTCCCAGTAACGGTCCAGTGGCAATTTTAGCCCCCGCGGAGATAACTCCCTTATAATAGTGGCTCCTCATCACAATCGCGCACCCCCTGCCCCCTCTTCTCATCTAATCTGAACGACGTCTTTGACCGGACCGAAGCCCCCATCCCGTCCCATCGGATCCCGGACCAACAGACAAATATTCACCGGACCGTTCGAGCCCCAACCGAGCCTAACCACGGAGGGTCGGAGCAAAGCGAAGACCCTTCTCTACTCCCCGTTGGACGACTACGACTGCGACTGTGAGATACTGCGTTCCGCGACCACGACTACGGCCCGTGGTCGGTGGTGGTCCCTCCCATCCAGAGCTTTCCTTCGCTTCGAACGTACGAGCTCCGCTTTGCTTCAGTTGCCCCCCACCCCGCCCGCCCGCCCGCCCGCCTGCCCCCCTCGCCCGCTTGTTGCCCCATTGCGGACCTGTCGGGCTGCGGCTCATTGTCACAATTTCCGGACTCGGGTTCGGGCTCGTGTCGTCGTCTTCGTCGTCGTCGTCGTCGCTGCTGTTGTCTCCTCTCCCTCCCGAGAGAGAGAGAGATAGCCCCCCCGGCCTCCGCTTTCCATGTTCTCTTCTCGTTCTGAGTTTGAACTCATCGGCCGGATTCGGCAATCTCGCGTCTCTGATTGGCACCTCGCGTGCTCATCATCCAGTAGCCCAGCCCCAGCCCGAGCCCCGCACCACGGATCTCCTCTCGTCAACCAACCCATCGAGCTCGCTGCCCCCGACCTTCCTTGCCTCGCCTCGCTTGCCCCCCTGCCTGCCACTCAGCTGCCCAGCGCTCCTTATCCGGGGCCTATCTCTTGTCCCCCGGTCACCTTGCACTTTGCGCGCTGCCTTGCCTGCCTTGCCCCCTCCTGCCTGCCTCTTGCACCCGTGCGCGTCCGATTCCGCCTGCGCTAGGCCCCGGTGGCCGAGGTAGCTTTGGGTCCGTTTTTTCCCCCCATCCCCCATCCCCCAGCCCCAGCTCCCGAGAATTTTCATCTCTGGCGCTCATTCTCGACAGCCCCCGTCAAAGTGGAGCTGAACTGGCGCAGCCGTGACGAGCAAGGCGCTCGCTCGCTGCTGCTGCTGCTGCTGCTCCGCAGGCGATCGAAGTGGTAGGCCGCGAGGGCAGGCCCCAGTGCCTTTTCGGTCACTGGCGGGCGAGCGAGCGAGCGAGCGAGGGCGCGTGCGGGCGATTCGAGTGGATCTCTCGACCACCTTCGGGGCAGCGGCGAGTGTTTCTTCTGCGGTCGATGCTGCTGCAGTCGTCGGGCTGTCATGGAGCTCGCGAGGAGCTCGTCCCGGCGTCTATGAAGACTGCGGTGGAGCGCAAGGCCTCTCTCTACTCTGACAGGGGACTATGACTATACAAGCGTGACATGACTCCAGTAGACTATGCCGTGGAGGTAGAGCTCTCTAGCCCCCCCCACCCCAAAAGCGGCCATTTCGAGCCGAAGCTCGTCGAGAATTTCATTTGTTGTCGGTCGGTCGCTCGTCGCTCGCAGCTGCTGCTTCCCTTCCCCCGTCTTTCTTCACGAGCGCTCAAAAGTCTTTTTTTTCCGGGTGGTTCTTTTTTTTGAATTTCAGGCAGGGCATGAAGGTATGCTTGTGGCGCACATCAAAGCACGTGCTGGTAATCTTCTGCATATTGAGCTCCCTCTGCACAATTCAAGGTGGTGAGAATTGTCTTCTCTTCTCCTCTCTCCCTCTCTCCCTCTTTCTTTCTCTGAACTGGAATGAGCTGAGCTGAGCTGAGCTGAGCTGAAAGAGCAATGAACTTTGTGAATGTCCACGAGAGAGTGTATGATGAGGCCGAGCAGTCCAGCGTTCTGCAGTGGTGTGATGGATTCATGGCTTACAGTGCTGGAGGGGAGGGGGGGAGGTGAAATTGGGGGGGAACCGAAAGAACTTAGAAATCAGGCATGATGCATTTTCTACGTCCAATTTATATCGAGGTAGCTTACGTCTGTGTCTCAGGGAGAACCCATATTGCAAGCAGGAGCACAAAGCGGTGTCTTCCTTGGAACAGATGGAAAAGGAAAAGGAGAAAGAAACCATTGATTGGGGAGAAACCATTGATTGGGGGTGCGTTGGGAATCTGCAGGCCAATGCCCGAGTGGCTGGCAAGAAGGACCAGTTGATCAGCGTTGTTTCATCTTGATGAATAACGCCAGCAGCTGGAACGAGTCAGCAGTGAATTGTCAGGCGCAAGGAGGGCACCTCGCCGCGCTCGCCAGTGCTCTGGAGTTCCCCTTTCTCGACGGCCTGTGCACGAGCGACGCATCAGGAAGCTGCTGGCTCGGAGGCACCCTGCGCCGATCGAGCAGCAGCGGCATCTTCACGCCGAATTGGACCGACTGCCGAGTCCTCTGGAATGATTCCTTCTACCCTCCGGCGCCTCCTCCACCTTCCACAAACTGCTCGGATCCGAGCTGCCCCGATTTCCTCGAAAACGGATGGTGTTCCCTCGTGGTGAACTCCTCCCTTGTCTGGGGCAGTTGCGATACCAAACATTCCTTCATTTGCACCCTCGGCCCAGGTACGACTCCATGCCAACTCCATGCACGATTCTTCTTTCTGAGCTCGCACACCTTTCTGACTGCAATTGTGCACTAAACCCTTCGCCATTCATCCTCCTCCTCCTCCTCTTCACCAATGCTGCTGCCCCACTTCTGCTGCTGCTTCTACTGCTGCTGCTGCTGCTGATGCCATCACTGCGACGACATTTTTGCTGCATCTTCTGTCCTCGAGCCGTATCTCGTTGCCGGACTCGAACTGTGGATTCTCTTGTCGTTTTCCTCCTCGCAATGTCGTTATGTCTGCACGTGCTGAAGCGTCCAACTCTCGAATGCACGCATCTGTACGTCCATCGTGGTCTCTCACTGGAGCAGCAACAGCAGCAGCAGCAGCAGCAGGGAGCTGGCGGAAGATGGAGCAGCAGCTGCTGCAGCTGCACTAGCACTAGAATGCAAAATGACACGAGCTTGGTTTTGCCCGTCTGTCTGTGTGCCCACCCGTGTAACTGCTTTGACCAGGTCCGTCTGAGTGTCTGGCCAGCAGCAGCAGCAGCAGCAGCAGCTGCTGCTGCTGAGCTCGGTCGTTCGTTCGTACACTAACAGCAGGCATGCGCATGGTGGTCGTGGGGCTGGGCGATCGCGGGGGGTGGATTGCAGATGGCTCGTGCGGAGGGAGATCGGCGAACAAGGCGTACATAATCACATTATCGGTGGTGAGCTCGGTGATTTTGAGCACGACGCTCGGGGTGACGATCTGGCTGCTGGCATACAGGAGGACGAAGAGAAGGCGACGGCGCAGGCGAGATCAGAGCACGCTGGCGGCGTCGGCCGCCATCGCGCCGGCGTGGAGAGTGTACACATTCTCGGAATTGGTCAACTTCACGGATGGGTTTGCGCCCGAGAACAAGCTCGGGGGCCGCCATGGCGGCGGCGGCGACTCGGACAGCTTCACGTACAAGGGCGTGCTGGCCGACGGCTCGCCCGTGGCCGTGCGCAAGGTGCGACGGCCCGGGCTGCAGGGCGAGAAGGACTTTCTGGCCGAGATGCGCAAAATTGGTCGCCTCCGCCACGAGAACCTCGTCGCCATGAAAGGCTGCTGTTTCGATCGCAACGATGGCTACATCATTTACGAATTCATCCCCAATGGCACCCTCGATGATTGGATTCATCATTTGCCCTCCGGTGCGCGCCCGCTCGACTGGGATGCCCGCATGCGCATTGCCGAGGGCATCGCCGATTCCTTAGCGTGAGTCCTCTCTCTCTCTCTCTCTCTCTCTCTCTCTCAGAGCTCGAGATTTGCTCGAGATTTGCTCGATTGTCACTGCGCAGCCTCGTCGAGAAGACATCGAGTGTGGCGATTTCGAGCTGAAGCTGCAGCATTTGCAATGTTGTCAGATTTGTGGTGGATTTTGAGGTGTCAGATGAGAAATGTGGTGGATTTTGAGGTGGACGAGGTGAATGCTGACGGTGTGGGATGTGGATGCTGATCAGGTACTTACACGACAAAGTGAAGCCGAATGTGGTGCATCGAAATGTGCGAGCTAGTACGGTACTTTTAGACAACGAATTAAAACCCCATCTTTTAGGCGTGGGGCTTGTCAATATGGCATTACGAGATACAACGCACGAGCCAACGGTGATCGTAGGAACGCATGGGTACCTTGCCCCCGAGTTCGTGTACCGCAATGAACTGACGACCAGGAGCGACATCTTCAGCTTCGGAGTGTTGCTGCTGGAGCTGGTGACTGGGCGTAAGCCCACAGTGGCAGAGGGCGAGATTTCAGAAACTCCGACAATTTTTGAGTGGGCGACACCGCTGCTCCAGGCAGAAGCGTGGACAGAATTATTAGATGTGACGATAGGATCGGTTCCGAATTACTCGCAGGTGAAGAAGGTGGTGGAGTTGGCCTACACATGCACGCAGCATGTGCCGTCCATGCGCCCTCGGATGTCTCATGTGCTCTACCAGCTGCAAGAGCTGCAGAGAGCCGAGCTGGTGGTTCAGCCCATGATGAATACAGAAAGAACCACCATCCCATTGAACACGGAAAGTTTGGGTGATAATACAACCGATTTGGAATTGGAAATACGAGAGGTCCCTTTGTAACCATTCTCATCTCACTCATGCAGGCTGAGCTGACGTGACATGTTCATGTTCCATTTCATCTTCCTTTCTCTCTCTCTCTCTCTCTCTCGCTCTCTCGTTGGCGGTGCAATTTCCACCTCTGCTTCCTCTCATTCATTCATTCATTCACTCACTCACTCACCTCATCTCTCTCCTCATTCACTCCACTCGTCGATGTTGTACGTCTTATGATACCGATTTCTGGGTCATTTAATTCTCGAATCACCCGGGCCATCCATCCACTCAGCCAGCCAGCAGCCCCTTCTGCTGCTGCTGCTGCAGGTTCTCTGCGCTCTCTTGCATCTTGTCATTCATTCACTGACGCCCAGAGTAAGAATGGAGGGAAACTTTGCTCGCCTTGGTTTGACTCGAGGTTCGGCTGTGGGTGTGGGTGTGGGTGGGGTGTCGTCGTCGCGTCCATGTCGAAGGCAGTGCGCTGCTGCTGTTGTTACTGCAACTACGGCTGCCGCCTCCTCCTCCTCCACCTCCGCCGGTATGTTCGTTTCGCCTGTTTGCTGCTGCTGCTGCTCCTTTGCCAACCCTCGCTCCCCCGCTCGGCAGCCAGCGAACGAGCCCTCGCCCTCGCCCTCCCCCACCATCATCAGATCAGTACAGTGCACTTGCATCGATCGAAGCAAGAGTCAGTCATCTAGCGGTTGGTCAGTGCCACGAGTCAGCATAATCGTCAGCACACACAGCCCCAGCCCACCTCGGGCCCCTTTTCAAATGTAAAACATGCCCAGGCATTAAATTTTGGCCCCTGTCGTTCAATTCGTCCCGTGATCTGTCTCTCCCTTCCCATCACATCAGCTCGTCTTGTCCTTCCGCATGCCTGCAGCAGCAGGCTCAGCCCTGCCCGTAAAGTGCTCGCCCCAGAGCAAGCAAGAGCCATTATAATTGCGGCAGACATCGCCAGCTCTGCCGTGCACTGACCTCTCTGTCCTCCCCAGCCTCTCCAGCATGGGATGGTATGAGATGTCTGCCTCCATCGTGACCAGTGTCGATCACCTCTCTCCATCTCCATCTCCATCTCCCTCCCTCTCTCTCTCTCTCTCTCTTCGGTTGACTTCACTTTCTTCACACTTGTTGACGCAGCTCTCTGTGGCCAGGCCACCTTATCTCTGTTCTACAATTCTTCTCACTGCCGCTAGCTGCCCCAGCAGAAGATGGCCGGGCTCGGGCCTGGGGACGGGGACTATGGCTGTCAGGTAGTTATTCTTTCCGTTTCTGTGGTTCCCCCCGGAGACTCAGTCCACAGCTTGTCCTGCCCAGCACTGCACTGCTCTGCTCTGCACTGCCATCCCCACCCATCGGGGCCCCTCCTTCCTCCTCCTCCCTCTTGATGCCCGCAGAGGTGGAGGAATCATGAATGCGCAAGCAACAATAAAAGTCTCGGCCTGTTGCTCTGAGACGGTCCCGAAAGTGAAGGGAAAGTTCTCAGACATGCGAGACATGGATGCGCCTCCCGATGAGCTGCTACTGCTGCTCTGCTCATCGGCGGCCTGGGCCTGGGCTTGGGCTCGGCCGGAGCTGTGCACACTTGCTCGCCATCTCTCGGGGCTGGATATCTACCTATCTATCCATCCATTCAGCTGCGATGGCACCGATTCTGAATGTATGTCAAATTCTGTCAACAGGGCGAACTGGATCCGAGTGTCATTCCTCAAAGGGGCACCGAGCATCGCGGTGTTGACCGGACGAGCTGGGTCAACTTCCTGGAACGATCTCTCACGTACTCGCTGCCATTACGGTCGTTTGTCTGGCCCGATGTTGTCACTAATCCGAGTGCGTCAGTGCTCATCCTCGTTGGTCGCTGTTTCTGATTCAAATGCTTGCTTTTTCCCGTCACTGGCTGGCTGGCTGGCTTACCTTGCTTGCTGGTCGGGAGAGGTCGGACGGTTGCCACAGTTCGTTCGCCTCTCTCTCTTTTTGCGCGCATTTGACCGACGGCCTCTCCAATCTTGAAAACCTCTGAATGCTCAAATCGAATTGAGATTCTCAGACGAGCAGTGCCGTCGATTCTTTCGTTGCTCCACACTGTGACCTCGACACGAGCCCCCCCCCCCCCCCCCCCCCCCCCCAGCTGTGAATTCTGTAAAGTACGCATCAACTGTCTCGTAAACTGCCGAACCAACATCTCGCAAATTTCAACCCCGTCGTGTGCGGCATTAAATGCCCACCACCTCTTCCGAGGGAACAAAGCTCTGCCCAGGGAGTGCCCTCATCCGAAACGTGCCAACGTGAGTTCCGCAAATTCTCTAGAAACTCCCATCTCCGACGATAGGAAATTGCGACTACACCTCGGTCCTTAAAATCCCAACACCCTCAGAACAAATCATGCGGCGAAACCGGGTTCTGCTATTCAACTCACGATGTAGCTCGATATGCACACCTCGTAACCGAAATCCACAGAGATTAAGGGACTCGTCTTCGGTCTCCAAGTGATACTCTTACCGTCCAGTACCGTAAGCGCAGCTTGAGGAGAGTGAGAAAGCTTCGGGGCAGCGCAGCGAAGGAATCGGCTCTCGGGAGACCGCCCTCGACGCCTGCAACGACTAGCCTGACCGAGGGGCAATGAGTGGGGGCAGTGGCAGGGGGGAGGGGCAGGGGCAGCAGGAGATGCGGACCGGGGGGAAGGGAAGCAGAGGAGGGAGCTAGTGGGGAAATAGCAAGCGGAATAACCCCGGTGGGGTGGAGGGGGGGAGAGGGGACGGTTAGTTGGTGCACACAACAGAGAAGGACAGGATCTGGCAGGGCCCGCCGTCCCGAGGAAGGCAGTCCCGAGGGGCGCAGTCCGGGGCACCGGCAACCGGAAGCCCGGAGACCGGTCCTTGTGGGTGACTGTCACTCGAGCCGCCCGATTCGAAGACGCGCCTGCCTCTCCACGACTTCAGTCACCATCTGAAGTACACAGAACAGAACTCGGGGCTGTCAGTCATTGACTTGCCATTTAGTCGACAGATCTCTGCTCTTAGTGACTAACTAGCACGTAATCACCCGACGAGGAACAGCTTTTCTGCTGACAGACCGAGACCTCGACCGAACTCATCCTGCTCGCGGATTGCGCTACGTGGAGAATTCCCGGCGAGTACGTACTTGCATGGCTCTGTTTGGGGACGGGACGGGACGGGGGTCCTTTTCGGAGACGCCGTTCTTAAACGGCGAAGTCGCCCGTCTCAGGTCCCCGGCGGCAGGCCCAAAAGGAAGGAAGGAAGGAAGCAGGAAGCTGCCCCCGGTCCCGTCAGTCCTCGAAATAATCAGAAGCCTTTGCCTGGGGGCCGGTTCCCAACGCTGAGGTTGCCCCATCCGGTCTCCGTCCCGGTTCCGGCCCCCCGCTGGGACGGACCGGGTCCCCCACAGCAGCAGCAGCCGCAGCCGCCGCGGCGGTCAGCTACCACAGTCGCTCCGCTTCCCATGGACCGGTGTGCTTCGAGCTGCCGGCTGTTCTGCCCCAACCCCCGAGGGTTTGGTCCGCCCTGGCACTGTCGACCTGTTGGACAGAGTTGCCGGGCACGGTTCCATACCGGTTACCCGGCAGGATCGTTTCGCCGATAAGCGATACCCGGCGAGGAGAGTTCCCGGTCGCGTCTTGGCGTTTCACGGTGAGTGTGTCGGTGATGTGGGGGGGGGGGAGGGGGGACTCGACGCCGGGAGCTAACGGGGAGCGCAACCGAGAACGGGCACTGTTCCGGCCACGGACCAATAGCGTGGAGGTGTTGCCGGTTACCGCGGGGCGATGACGGAGCGAATCGGTATGTGACAGTTTGTGCCCTCTCTGCGGCATGTGGGACCCACTCTGGACTCTGTTCGTGACGTCGGTTAATCGATCGATCTCACGTGGAAGGCGAGCGCGCCTACGAGAACGGATGACCCTATTTATAGAAGGGGCCTTTCCCGGCTGGAGCTCGAAGCGCTGTTTCCATTTCCCGATGCCCGTCGCCGTAGCCCCCCTCCCGTCCGCTCGCCCTTGCGCTCACCCCCGTACTGCTCGAATGCTGCCCCACATGGACGGACGAACGGACGGATAGATGGACGGACGGACGGACAGAGAGGCACCCTCCGCCCCTCGCAAGCCTCCCAGTTCCATCCCCCGTCCCCTTCCACTGACGAGAAATCATGAAATGTGGAATTCTTACTCATCGTGGAATTGTTGTTGGAATGCCAACATGATGTAGCCCCGTCCTTCATCCCTCCCTCCCTCCCTCCCTCACTCAGATTCACGAGTGAATCAATCAAACTGCGTAGAGAGAGAGAACTCTTGGAACGATGTCGCAGGTAGAATTTCACGAATGCCCCGCCCCCAGAACGTACGACCAATCAATTACACAGCTTGCTGGAAATAGGTGGGACCACTTCACGAAGCTCCAGCCGACTGATCAGACTCATAATACTCAGAGTCCACTCTGGGCTTGGATAGCCCCGCTCCTCCCTCTCCCCGTCCCTCCCTCGCTGTGACTCTCGACGGTCCAGGGTTTCTTCTCCCACATCCCTTCCCCTCCAACCGCCCCTTCCCCCGCTGTTGCTAGCCCGACCGTGGGGGGCTATCTGGGGGCTAGCAGCCCCAGCCCCAGGCGACTGCACCTGCACTGTACAAGTGTCGACCGTCCAGAGGACGACATCATCAACGATGCCATCGAAGGTCAGAACTCATGACATCCTCTTTTGCCTCATTTACTCTCCTACCTTCCTCACGCTCGCGCCTTCTACGGTCTGTTCTACAGTTGACGAAGCTCGCTCTTTTTCGTACCGCCATTCCATCACTTCCGTTTCTCGAGCTCTGGTTCTACGCATGTATGCGTCAGTGGATCTGACCATGTGTTACTCTTTTTTCCCATTCATCTAAAATATTTTTTCCCAGCTATGAGGTTTTTGGGCTCAGCCAATCTATTTATATATACTTACTCGTTTATTAGCGTGGTATCACGTTCAAGTTACAATTGTGCATAGAAGAACTGTCTATTACCTTGTCAAAAAAGCGAAGTTTGTTCTGGTTTGCGAGGAATGAACACCAATATGCGTTGAAGTTGGCTAGTATATATTTGGACATGATTTAGCAATATAATACAATGTAGTAAAGTATTTCTACTCATCTCCACGGGGTAAGATAAATTAATCAAAGTTTCCATATCTATGATTATGTTCCAGAATTATTTCTTAGTATAATCCTATGTTTAAAATAATTAAAATATCTCAAATTAAATGAATCATTATACTCATGGAACAATACACAAAAATTTAATATTGTAAATTTTCAGGTTATTGTCTAGTTCGTTGAAGTCAAAAACTGAATTGTGATACATCCTCAACGGAAAATGGAAATGTTAAAGGATGAACGTTTGTTTCAATGTCATTATTTTTTCTCTTTTTATTTCGTAGGATTGTAGCACCATGGGATGTGTTTGGTTTCATTATTCTTTCATTTGATGGGGACTTCCAAATCTAATTGGAAAATTACTCGCTGTGAAATCGTTCCAAAAAGCAATGACAACCATATTTTCGTTTTTATTAAGTAGTAAGAACTACGGTCTCCAGACTGCAAGTCCGTAACCGTACAGATAGTGCATACTCTTACCGTATGGTGGACGTACAAACTGACCGTATTATTAAAACACACACACTAACTGAACGACAGCCAGCCATAATTATAATCTGGGACACAGCACGTACTTTTCAGAGATTAAATACGCCTGAGGTTAGTTAAGAGAATCTTGTCAGCGAATTCGAAATGGACGGTCCGATTGGCCTGGCTCCGGCTCTCATCGGACGGAGTGGAGGCGTCCACTCGTCAGCTTCTGTGAAGGGGTGTCGATTATAATGAGCCGCTTGTAGTCTGATAGGGTCAATCTGGGCACACCCAGACTGACCCACGGTTTGAGTAAACTCGAGTTAGTGCGGACCACAGTGGTCGGGGTCGCTCGGTATTTCGAGCTCTTTTAAACGTAGCGACAAGTCTATACACGCCACTTGCAAAGAATTTCTCTTTGCAAGTGAGGTTATCACTATCCGATATAAACGTAATGATATAATTATTTAGATACTATAATTTAGATTAAATAATTAATTATTAATATAAAATATAATACTGTTCCCATATCCTCAGTTTAAACGGGGTGAAAATAGTAAGTTACTCCATTTATAGGTCAAAAGTTACTTGATTCGTAATTTGATTAGAAGAGAGCTCCGAGAGAATTGGAGAAAAGCCAGAGAATTAGAATTACAAATGGGCCGAGTCTATTCCCGCTTTATATATGGAGACTCCCGCTTTTCATGAATGTGCGTTTGTTTGCATGTAAGGAGTATATGTAGCTAGGTGTTAAGTGCAGTCAAGGTGTAAAGTGGGTAGGAGATGGAGGGGCATCTTACGGGCCTAAAAAAAAGTAGTTTTTTAGCTTGGCCCAAATATCGGTCATATATAATTTTAACCCCTAAGGGACGGAGGGGTATTTCCACAGTTTTTCAGGACCTACAGTGCCATTCTTGCATCTTCCAAAGTGAGACAAACTTGAGAATAACCATAAAGCAATTTAACCGTAAGATCTTTGAAAGTAGTGGGCTACCAAAATCTGTACCAAATTTTGGGTTTCGAGAAGCAACGGATTGGGAGATAATAACATGTGAAGTTTGGAAGATTAGTGAATTTCTGAAATCCTAATAGTGAGTTTCTGAGTTTGACTGAAAATTTCTTTTTCAGAAATTTATAAAAACTTGGCAACTAAAACTAATTTTCTTCTCCAGTATGTTAGGAACATGCAAAAAAAAATTTAGATTTTTCCGAGTTACCCAATTTGGAGAAAATAGGTTTGACATAAGTGTCACTCTGAATTTTATTTTTTTCAACATGGCACTTTTTGGCAAATTCAAAAGGATTTCTGATAAATCCAAAACGGTGAAGTTATAAAGTAGTGGTCATACAAGAATTCCCAAAAAAAAAATGCTAAAAAAGAAAATCCACAAGGAGAGATCTTCATTTCAGTTTTCAATGTGCTCAAAGTTTGGTTGAAACATTTTCACTGTAGAAACACTAACTTCACTGTAGAAACATAGGACCGACTCATGTTCTTTCTTTTTTCTAAAATC